GCGAATTGCTCGAGCCTAGGAATTCAAGATCAGCCTGGGAAACATGGTGAAACCCTATCTCTACAAAAAATGCAAAAAAACAGCCGAGCATGGTGGCCATCCCTGTGGTCCCAGCTACTCAGGAAGCTGAGGAGGGAGGATTGCTTGATCCCAGGATGTCCATCATTTATTGTCAGTTCTTTTATGCAGAAAGATGCAAGTATGAGCTGTTAACAGCCGAGTCATAGCATGTAGGGAATGGGGACAATGACTAGTAAGCAGAATCTGGGTAGGGAACCAATACCCATTTTGTGAATTTACTTAAGGCTAAATATTATAATTGGTAAATCTTTTATTTAACCATTGTACAATGTGTCATGCTGAAAATGAACAAACAAGTTGAGTGACATTTATGGAATTCTTACTCTTGCTCCTGATACTCCCTACCTGATGTGACCATCAGACCTTCAGACTGGTGAAGATGCAAATGTCAACCTACATTCTAAAATACCTTTTCTTTTCTTTTTTTTGAGACAGTTTCACTCTATTGCCCAGGCTGGAGTGCAGTGATGCAATATTTGCTCACTGCAACCTCTGCCTCCTGGGTGCAAGTGATTCTCTTGCCTCAGCCTCTGGAGTAGCTGGGATTACAGGCGCCTGCCACCACACCCAGCTAACTTTTGTATTTTTAGTAGAGATGGGGTTTCACCATGTTGGCCAGGCTGGTTTCCAACTCCTGACCTCAGGTGATCCATCCCTCTCAGCCTCCCAAAGTGCTGGGGTTACAGGTGTGAGCCACTGTGCCCGGCCTGGCCTCCTTAATTACTCTTATAACGCTTCCTGACTGAAATAGAATCAGAGCATAATGGACAAAGTGACTGGTGAGAAGGAAGAAAAAGCCTTTGTTTTTTGGGGGAGGGAGAGGGCAGGACTGGTAAGAGAAAATTTCATGTTGTCCTTCTGTACAGCCACCCACACACACAACCTCAGCCAAACAAACGACATTACCAAGGGCATGCAGCCAAAAGGTCAAACTTGGGCAACATGTTGCTCTTCATTTTGCCTTTCCACAGAAGAGGTCATTGTCCTCGCTTTCATTTAAGCATCAAATCCACTGAAGTGTACTTATTTTTTATGCATCTGTTTCTGCCATTAGACAATTCATTGAGGAATCAAGGATGTCTTATTCCTGTTTTCATATCTACTAGCACACCGGAGGTGCTCAATACATGTCCTTAAAGAAATGTGTGATTGACATGGGTAAGGCTGGGGAGAAGGCAGTCAGATGTGCTCAGAAAGCAGGCTGAGGCCTGATTTAAATAGCACAATGTGGAGATTTAAGCCTTGTCATGTAGGCAAAAAGGGAACAGGGAAGCTAGAAAGCCTTCTTGTTTTTTTTTTTAATGTTTTAAAAATGTTATTTAAAATAACAAAAATTAAGTGCTCTACACATTCAGAGAAATTTCTCTAGTAACAAATTATAGAAATGATCCCTGAAAAGACAGTCTAAATGTTTCTTGTTATTAATATTTTTTCCAAAGCAATACATGTTTAAATATTTTTTTTTTTGAGACAAAGTCTCACTCTGTCGCCAAGGCTGGAGAGCAATGGTGCGATCTCCACTCACTACAACCTCTGCCTCCCGGGTTGAAGCAATTCTCCCTCCCTCAGCCTCCTGAGTATCTAGGATTACAGGACCTGACCACTATACTGAGCTAATTTTTGTATTTTTAGTAGAGATGGGGTTTCACCATGTTAGCCAGACTGGTCTCGAACTCCTGACCTCAAGTAATACACCTGCATTGGCCTCCCAAAGTGCTGGGATTATAGGCATGAGCCACTACGCCCGGCCTGATTTAGTAATTTTATATATTGACTTCACATCATAGTAGCTGAGGACTTTGTTCCACCATGGCTCATGGTCTTGTTATTTTGGATGCCCTTTTCGGTTTTCTCTGCAGGCCTAGGATGCTGACATTTCACGTTATGTATCTTAGTGGGCACACAGCGGAGACTCATGTCCTTCTGTTCTTGGACATGTTCTTGTATTGTTTCTTTGACAAATGCATCTGTTTTTTTCTCTTCTTTCTGGATGTCATGCTAATTGAACCTCCTGAATTGATTCTTTAAAAAATTGTTTTTTCCTATTTTACATCTCTTTGCTTTCCATACTACTTTTTTTTTTTTCAGACAGGTTCTGGCTCTGTTGCCCAGGCTGGAGTACAGTGGCATGATCATAGCTCACTGCAAACTCAACTTCCTGGGCTCCAGGGATCTGCCCACCTTAGTATCCCAAAGTGCTAGGATTACACACCCAGCCTGTCCTCTATAAATCTACCAAAATCTCTTCTCTCATTTGCTTTGTCCTTCTGGGTATTTTTATTTGTTTTTTTCCTTTGAGACAGAGTCTTCCTCTGTTGCCCGGGCTGGAGAGCAGTGGCACCATCATGGCTCACTGCAGCCTTGACCTCCTGGGCTCAAGCAATCCTCCTTCTTCAGCCTCCTGAGTAGCTAGGACCATAGGCGTGTGCCCCATGACTAGCTGATTTTTTAATTTTTTGTAAAAATAGTGTCTCACCATGTTGCCAGGCTGGTCTCGAACTCCTTGGGCTCAAGTGATCTTCCCACATTGGCCTCCCAAAGTGTTAGGACCGTGCCTGGTCCTTCTGGGTTATTAGCCTTTTAAAAATTCAAAGCCAAGCTGGGCATGGTGTTGTGCACTTGTAGTCCCAGCTACAAAGGAGGCCCAGGCAGGTGGATGACAAGCCCAGGAAGGAGTTTGAGACCAGCCTAGACAATCTCAAAAAAAGGACAGGGGTGGAAAGGGAAGGGGAAGAGAGAAAAAAGAGAGAGAGAGGAAGGGGAGGGAGGGGACTGGAGGAAAGGGAAAGGGGAAGGGGAAGAGGAAGGAGAAAGGGAAGTGAAAGGGAAGGGAAAAGAAAGAGGGATGGAGGGAAGGAGGGCCGGAGGGAGGTAAGGACAGAGGGAGGGAGGGAAGAGAGGAAGGGAGGGAAGAAAGAAAGGGAGGAAGGAAGGAAGGAAGGCAGGTGGGCAAGCCTAGGTAACATGGCAAAATCCCATCTCTACTAAAAATATAAAAACTAGCTGGGTGTGGTGCTGCACACCTGTAGTTCCAGCTACTCAGGAGGTGAGGTGGGAAGATCCCGTAAGCCCCGAAGGTGGAAGGTGGAGTTTGCATGCACCACTGCACTCCTGCCTGGGTGACACAGTGAGACAGAGTTTCGCTCTTGTTACCCAGGCTGGAGTGCAATGGAGTGATCTCGGCTCACTGCAACCTCCGCCTCCTGGGTTCAGGCAATTCTCCTGCCTCAGTCTCCTGAGTAGCTGGGATTACAGGCATGCGCCATTACGCCCAGCTAATTTTTTGTATTTTTAGTAGAGACGGGGTTTCACCATGTTGACCAGGATGGTCTCAATCTCTTGACCTCGTGATCCACCCGCCTCAGCCTCCCAAAGTGCTGAGATTACAGGCTTGAGCCACCTCACCCAGCCAGAAAAGAAAATTTTTTATGGTCACATTAGAAAATGGGAGAAAAGGCTGGGTGTGGTAGCTCACGCCTGTAATTCCAACACTTCAGGAAGCTCAGGTGGGTGGATCACGAGGTCAGCAGCTGGAGACAAGCCTGGCCAACACCGTGAAACCCAGGTCACAGGGAATTTTTTAATAGAATGGAAGGCACTTGCGTGTTTGTAGGAAGCAGCTAGAGCTGAGGAGGAGGTTGACAATAAAATGAGGATCCAGATTGTTACAGTGAACTCCAAGTTTGTCTTCAAAGAATTAGTAGGACAAGCTCTCTTAAATTCACTACTTTAAAGTTTAATTTCCTCGTAATTCCAGTAAACAACCTCCACCGCTTATAATCAGGAGTTCACATCTGTTCCTCCCCACTGACCACCAGCTCCATCCTGACTCATCCAGTCACCTACCCCAGTCATTGTTCTGGTCACCTTCTTTGACCTAGGTCACCCCTGGCTACCTGCTCTGACCTGCCAGTAACATTCCTTCCCGCCAAAACACACCCTGCCACTCCAGCTTGGACCCCTGCTCTTTTTAAAACAGTCTTTCTGGATTCGTCTAGCTTGTGCAGTCTAACCCTAGCCTACAGGAGAATGACACAGCCGTAGGGACGACCCCTCACAAGTACCCCTTCCCCGCCTTGTCCAAGCATGTTGCCACCACTGCTCCATCCATGAGCCGCACTCTTCTATAGAAGTAAATTGCCTTGCTGAGAGGATTTATCTTCAAGTGCTATTTCTTTTGTGGCATTGAAATTTTACTTTTTTTTTTTTAACCACATACATTTTTACTTTTATTGTATGTACTTCGTGTTACACTCTACATTGTTCACTAGTCTGAGATGATACATGACATACATATTATAAAATACCCAAAACCTTTCAAGTTTTTGCTCATTAATTTCACCATGTGCTCAGAAATAATTTACATCCCTGGGCACAAATTTCATTTCTTCCTTCATCATAACCACAATATGAAACAATTATTAGTAAATAAGTATTGCAAAAGATGCAAAAGAACACAAAAATGGAATGCAAGAGGAAAACAACCCATTTACATGGTAGTTTATAAACAAGCTAAGGCCTGAGAAATGAATTTTAGAACTAAACTCAATTTTTTCTATAAACCAATGTTATATTATCTTACCTACAAACCATGTATAAATACTTGTGAAATAGGCTTAGAATAAACTTATTTTGAATCACTCAGCACAGTTCAAAGACAACAAGCGAAGATCTTTTGTAGAGAAAAAGCTTTTTAAAAATTTTTTATTTTTTGCAGGGCTACCCCATAGGCTGTGCACCCTGAGTAGCTGAGAAAAGCCTTTTAAAATCCCAAGAGATGTCCTTCACACAAACTAAACCCTGATTTTGCATGTAATGGGCTGTTGATTTGGCTTAAGTTGATCACACACAGGACTTGCCGCCATAGTAAAGGGAAGACAAAGGCTAACAACAAAAGAAATCACAAATACAACAATACATTTCAATTGAGAGCAGGTACTGTTTATTAACTGACCGGCTTAGAAAAATAATCATGGGCGACACCTTAGTTTATTCTTCTAATAAGCCTGTTGATCTGGTCCTCCCTGTTGCCAGCATCTCCACCTTCTACAAAATGGGTGATCTTTTTCTTCATTTCACCCCGTGGAGAAGATGATTTAAAGGGCCACAAGAAGTTATTTGCTTCTTTGAAGCGTTTTCCAACAGTATAGATCTCATGAATCAGATCCTCCATGCAGATGATGCCATATTTTCCAAGAGATCGAGCAATCAGAGCATTATCTGTCAAAGCAATTCGCTTCTTTTTGATTTTGCCATAACCACGTTTGTAGATTAGTTCGTTTACTGACTTCAGATTTGGGTACCCCCATGCAATATATAGCTCTACAATCCTCAGCATGTTAACTGAAGCCTTGTTGAGCTTCACAAAGTTTCCATTGAAGATTTGACGAAGGCAAAAAAGCTGCAACACCTTTCGGACCTTTGGGCTCACACCATTGATACCTCCGATCCTGATGACAAACGCCAGTTTGGGTTCTGCAGGTACATAGAAGTTGCCAGCTTTCCTTGCCATCCTCACCATTCGAATTTCAGTTCTGTACATCTGCCTATATTCCTTGTGATAATGCTTCTCCTTTTCATAGATAAGCTTCCTCCTTGCTTTCGAAGCATTATTTGGGCAAACTTCTTTCTCAGGCACTTGATCTTCAGCTCTGCGAAATTCCTTCGCTTTTTCTTAAGGGTTTCTGGCACAGCAGGAACCTTCTTCTTCTTCTTCTTTTCTACACCCTCCATGGTTCCAGTTGGAAAGAGAGGCGAAATTTTACATATAACAATTCAATGGTTCCAGGCCTCAGAGGACATGTGATCAAGCTCATGGTGGTGGGGGGGGGGTCAGCTTCACAAAGAAGAGTCCTTCTTTGTGAAGGACCTTTCCATACCTCTGTGCCCCTTCAAACACACCAGCCATACCTACGACCCACAAGGCTGTAGTCTTACCCTGGGACCTTTCTCACACCAATTCAATCTATAGGAATCAAATTGTAATGTATATCCTAAACTATGAATTATTTAGTCTAGAACAACAGGAAGGGAGGCTGCATCAGAAGATGCTAAGGTTAGCTTTAGCACTCCCAGCTGTAGTGTCCAGTGAAGTCTGTATTAGTCCATTTTCATACTGCTATGAAGAAATACGTGAGACTGGGTAATTTGTAAAGAAAAAGAGGTTTAATGGACTCATAGTTCCACATGGCTGGGGAGGCCTCACAATCATGGTGGAAGACAAGGAGAAGCAAAGGCATGTCTAACATGGTGGCAGGCAAGAGAGTGTGTGCAGGGGAGCTGTCCTTTATCAAATCATCAGATATCTGCCAGGTGCAGTGGCTCATGCCTATAATCCCAGTGCTTTGGGAGGCCAAGGCGGGTGGATCATGAAGTCAAGAGATCGAGATCATCCTGGTCAACATGGTGAAACCCCATCTCTACTAAAAATACAAAAATTAGCTGGGCATGGTGGTGTGCTCCTGTAGTCCCAGCTACTTGGGAGGCTGAGGCAGAAGAATTGTTTGAACCCAGGAGGCGGAGGTTGCGGTGAGCTGAGATCATGCTATTGCACTCCAGTCTGGGTAACAAGAGCGAAACTCCATCTCAAAAAAAAAAAACAAAAACAAACCATCAGATCTCATGAGACTTATTCACTATCACGAGAACAGCACAGGAAAAACCCACCCCATGATTCAATTACTTCCCACTGGCTCCCTGCCACAACACATGGGGATTATTGTAGCTATAATTCAAGATGAGATTTGGGTGAGGACACAGCCAAACCATATTAATCTCCATCAGTGTGGGGTAAACATATGTCTCCCATGCTCTCTGGTCACTCAGCAGCTAAGTGTTGTATCAAATATCCACATGTGTGCATGAGGGCGCACATATAGACACACACACATGATCTCCCAAAGACACTATGCTTCTTCTTTTTTTGTTTTTTTTTTGAGATAGAGTCTCGTTTTGTCGCCAGGTGCCAGGCATGATCTCTGCTCACTGCAACCTCCACCTCCTGGGTTTAAGCAACTCTCCTTCCTCAGCCTCCCGAGCAGCTGGGACTACAAAGGCATGCCACCATGCCCAGCTATTTTTTTTTTATATTTTAGTAGAGACGGGGTTTCACTGTGTTGGCCAGAATGGTCTTGATCTCTTGACCTCGTGATCCGCCCGCCTCAGCCTCCCCAAGTGCTGGGATTACAGGCGTGAGCCACCGCACCCGGCGACACTATGCTTCTTAGAATGAGTACAGTTACTCCATCATGCTCCACACTCTTAGCCTGCTTTATTATTCTTCACAGCATCAGGGCTGATTCTCAGCCAATATATTCTAGCATGACTATATAAATAGCTACAGTATTGCAATACCGTAATTCCATGCTGTTAAGTAAACAGCTGTTGCCCTTGACCCTAAGTACATCCCCCGCACTTGCTAACCCAGCATCTCCTAGACCTTCCCAAGATCCAGAAACTGAAAGTATAACAGTAGTCTCAAGAAGACTAAGGTTGACCTGTGTTCTAACTGGAGGTGAAATGGGCATAAGATGGGGAGTATATGGGAACACAGTAAAAAACTAAAGCTTCTGAACTAACACTTTATTGGGAAGTTCAATGTCAAGAAAGTTGGAGTGAGCAGGAAAGGGAAGTGAGGCAGGAAGGAAGACAGCAGATACAAGAGAGAACATGAGGAAGTGATACCAGGCTGGTTACACATGTTAAATATTTTGGATGTCCCACCCTGCAGAGTACTTATCACTGGCCGAAATTACCTTATATTCTTTTAAATATAAATAACAGATATTGTCTGTTTGCCCACAAGAAAATAAACTACATGAGGACAGGGATTTTGTTTAATGTTGTCTCTCCAGGACCCAGAATATACTGGCACATAATAGGTGATGAATAGTATCACTTGAATCAACTCATGTTAAAGATAAACATATATGTGTGTGTGTGTGTGTGTGTGTGTGTGTGTGTGTGTGACAGAGTCTTGCTGTCACCACGCACCAAGCTGGAGTGCAATGGCGCAATCTCGGCTCACTGCAACCTCTGCCTCCCGGGTTCAAGCAATTCTCCTGCCTCAGCCTCCTGAATAGCTGGAACTACAGGTGCGTGCCACGACACCCAGCTAATTTTTGTATATTTTTAGTAGCAACTGGGTTTCACCATGTTGGTCAGGATGGTCTCAATCTCTTGACCTCGTGATCTGTCCCCCTTGGCCTCCCAAAGTACTGGGATTACAGGCATGAGCCACCACGCCTGGCCAAGAAATATTTTTCTAAATAAAACACTTTTCATATACATTTCAGGTCACAGTAGATGTAGCACTTTGTTATTTTTGCAGAGTGGTTTCTGTTCCTCATTTTTAAATCTTCGAATTCCCTAATCACGCCCAGAGGCCTACTTGCATATAAGGAATGAGAACCATACGGATAGTTTCATGTTACAGAGTCTTCTGCCTTCAGGGCTATCATCTAATGCTCGAGGACCCAGAAAGTCTTTGAAATCCTTGCTTTTCCTGATCTTAGCTGATCAAATATGTAGTTAATGCATCTGTATGGGAAGAGGAAGAACTATCCTCTACCCTGAGCCATCTCCCAGGGGCTGAGGACAAAGGGTATAATTTATCCCACTTATACTAGGTACATATTTGTAATTTTGTTTTTTGAAAGAAAGTTTTCTTTTTTCACTGCAAGTTTTAAGTAGTCAAATAAGGTTTGTTTGTTTTAGAGACAGTTTCACTCCATTGCCCAGGCTGGAATGCAGAGGTGTAATCTTGCAATATCCCTTCAGTGCAGCCTCTGCCTCCCAGGCTCAAGTGATCATGCCTCAGTTTCCCCAGTAGCGGGGACTACAGGCAAGTGCCACCACATCCAGCTAGTTTTTTGTATTTTTTGTAGCGACAGGGTTTCACCATTTTGCCCAGGCTAGTCTCAAACTCCTGAGACCTCAAGTGATCCGACCACCCCAGCCTCTCAAAGAGCTGGGATTACAAGCGCGAGCTGCTCCGCACAGCCCAAATAAGTTTTTTTTTTTCCTTGAGACAGAGCCTTGCTCTGTTGCCCAAGCTGGAGTGCAGTGCTGTGATCTCGGCTCACTGCAGCCTCCGCCTCCGAGTTGAAGTGATTCTCCTTCCTCAGCCTTCCAAGTAGCTGGTACTATAGGTATGCACCACCATGCCTGGCTGATTTTTGTCTTCGTAGTAGACGTGGCGTTTCCCCATGTTGGCCAGGCTGGTCTAGAACTCCGGACCTCAGGTGATCCGCCTACCTTGGCCTCCCAAATTACTGGGATTACAGGCGTGAGCCACTGCACCTGGCCAAGTTTTTTATGTATACTTTTTCTTTTTTAGACGGAGTCTTGCTGTTGTTGCCTAGGCTGGAGTTCAATGGCGTGATCTTGGCTCACTGCAACCTCCACCTACCAGGTTCAAGCAACTTTCCTGCTTCAGCCTCCTAAGTAGCTGAGATTACAGGCATGAACCACCATGCCCAGCTCATTTTATGTTTTTACTATGGACAGGGGTTTCTCCATATTGGTCAGGCTGGTCTCAAACTTCCAACCTCAGTTGATCCACCTGCCTCGGCCTCTCAAAGTGTTGGGATTACAGGCATGAGCCACCACGCCCAGCATATGTATATTTTAATGTAGGAAAAGATCTGTGGGAAAAAATTATTATATGCTACAAGTTTAAGTGAGAAATGAATACCAAAAGTAGTAAATTTTGAATTACAAACCAACAACTATCACGTATCAACTTTTGATATTTAAATTCAAAGGTAGGAAAATGTTAATTAGGTGAATATATTCATGACTGAGACTATAATCTACTTAATGTTCCCTTTACCTCTCGAACCCAGTAGTAAATTTCACTTCATTAGCCTCATAGCAATCATCTGTAATCATCTGATTACAAACATACTCAAGCTGCAGGCTTTCACTGTGACTCTGTATTTTATATTCTTCAGCATCAAAACATATTTTTAAAAATGGGAGAAAACAGGGCTTTGTTGTAATGTGATATCATGACTGCATAGCTAATAAGTTCCTAGCAATCATCAGATCCATCTTTATAATGCTTGGCTCATCTTAGGATATCGTGTTCTCTAGCAAAAAATGTTAACCTAATGCTTAGAAAATTAGATCCAACTCTTTTTTTATTTTGAGGCAGAGTTTTGCTCTTTCACCCAGGCTGGAGTGAAGTGGTGCAATCTCAGCTCACTGCAACTTGGGCCCCCAGGGTTCCAGCAATTCTCCTGCCTCAGCCTCCCAAGTAGCTGGGGTTATAGGTGCATTCCACCATGCCTGGCAAATTTTTGTATTATTTTAGTAGAGACGGGGGTTTCACTACGTGGGCCAGGCTGGTCTTGATCTCTTGACTTCATGAATCACCTGCCTCGGCCTCCCAAAGTGCTGGGATTGCAGGTGTAAGCCACTGTACCCAGCCTATAGTTTTAATCTATTTCATTTATACTTTCTTAATTCTACTTCCTGGCTAGTATACATTCCTAATCCTAGCATTAATTTTTCTTTTCTTCAAGGATCATTTCCAACAATTAATGGGCTCAGCAAACACATCCTTGTTTGGGCTGTATGCAGTAGCACACGCCTGTAATCCCAGCACTTTGGGAGGACAAGGATGGGTGGGGGAATGATTACTTGAGGTCAGGAGTTTGAGCAGCCTGGCCAACATGGTGAAACCCCATCTCTACTAACAATACAAAATTTAGCTGAGCAAGGTGGCAGGCCCCTGTAATGCCAGCTACTTGGAGTCTGAGGTAGGAAAATAGCTTAAACCTGGGAGGCAGAGGTTGCAGGGAGCCGAGATAGTGCCACGGCACTCCAGCCTGGGCAACAAAGGGAGACTCCATCTCAAATAAAACAACAAAGGTTGGGCATGGTAGCCCCTCCCCTAACCTAGCACTTTGGGAGGCAGAGGCAGGCAGATTACATGAGGTCAGGAGTTCAAGACCAGCCTGACCAATATGAAGAAACCCCATGTCTACTAAAAATACAAAAGTTAGCTGGGCATGGTGGCATGCGCCTGTAATCCCAGCTACTCGGGAAGCTGAGACAGGAGCATTGCTTGAACCCAGGAGGTGGAGGTTGTGGTGAGCCAAGATCGCGCCATTGCACTCCAGCCTGGGCAACAAGAGTGAAACTCCATCTCAAAAACAAACACAAACAAACAAACAGACAAAACAAAAACTTATCCTTTGTTGTCATCCTTCCTGTAATCTCACAAAGTAAGGGGTATAGGTAGAGGAAGGGTTGAAACTTCAACTAATAATTCCTGAATGCCTACCCTGTGCCATCTTATTTTTATTGTTACTTAATTTTCATAAAATCCCCGAACAGGAGATATTGTCACTTGATGAGCAATCTGGAGTTTAGAGGAAAATAAAGTAACGTGTTCAACATCACTTATCTAGCTTTGAGTACTAGTGCTTATTAAAGCATCTGCTTTGGGCCTGCAGTGATGGCTCATACCTGTAATTCCAGCGTTTTGGGAGGCCCAGGTGGGACGATCGCTTGAGGTCAGGAGTTTGAGACCAACCTGAGCAACATAGTGAGACCTCGTCTCTATTAAAAAAAAACATTTTTAGTAAAAAAAAGTGTTGTTTTCTATGCAGTAAAGAAAAAAAAAAAAGAGAAAAAAAAGTGTTCGCTGGGGGTGGTGGCTCACGCCTGTAATCCCAGCACTTTGGGAGGCCAAGGCTGGCGGATCATGAGGTCAGGAATTCGAGACCAGCCTGACCAACATGGTGAAAACCCCATCTCTACTAAAAATACAAAAATTAGCCTGGCGTGGTGGCGTGTGCCTGTAATCCCAGCTACTCGGGAGGCTGAGGCAGAAGAATTGCTTGAGTCCAGGCGATGGAGGCTGCAGTGAGCCAAGACTGCACCACTGCACTCCAGCCTGGGTGACAGAGGAAGACTGTCTCAAAAAAAAAAAAAAAAGTGTTCATGATACTATTTTTTCTACCTTTTCCACACTAAAAAAGATTGCAGGGCTGGGCGCGGTGGCTCAAGCCTGTAATCCCGGCACTTTGGGAGGCCGAGGCAGGTGGATCACTAGGTCAAGAGATCGAGATCATCCTGGTCAACATGGTGAAACCCCGTCTCTACTAAAAATACAAAAAATTAGCCGGGCATGGTGGCGCGTGCCTGTAGTCCCAGCTACTCGGGAGGCTGGGGCAGGAGAATTGTTTGAACTCAGGAAGTGGAGGTTGCGGTGAGCCGAGATCACGCCATTGCACTCCAGCCTGGGTAACAAGAGCGAAACTCCGTCTCAAAAAAAAAAAAAGATTGCAAAAGTAGCCTGAGAAACAGAATTAGAATAAAATAGGTGCAAAGGGAGAGCAGAAAAAAAGAAAGTGTAACTGGTTGTATTCAGCTTAGCAATGACTTTTTCAGCTCTTCATTTATGTACATTTAGAACCAATCTTGTAGCACATGCTCCAAATCAACTACACATGAATTGGCAAATAGGTACTTTAAAATCTTTTTTTTTTTTCCTGAGACAGAGTCTTGCTCTGTCTCGCAGGCTGGAGTGCAGTGGCTCAATCTCAGCTCACTGCATCCTCTGCTCATTGCAACATCTGCCTCCTGGGTTCAAGGGATTCTCATGCCTCAGCCTCCCAAGTGACTGGGACTATAGGCATATGCCACCATGCCCAGCTAATTTTTGTATTTTTTGTGGAGACTGGTTTTCACCATGCTGGCCAGGCTGAAAAACTCCTGACCTCAAGGTGTTGGGATTAAAGGTGTGAGCCACTGTGCCAAGCGTAAAATCTTACTTAAGAAAGAAGTGAACTTGTTTTCAAGAATTAGGATCCCAAGCTGCTCCTTTTGGCCCTAACCATACTCTCTGTTTAAGAACAAAGTATCGGGGCCAGGCGGGTGACTAACACCTATAATCCCAGCTACTTGGGAGGCTGAAGCAAGAGAATTGCTTGAAGCCAGGAGGCAGAGATTGCGGTAAGCCAGGATCACACCGTTGCACTCCAGCCTGGGCAACAAGAAGAAATCTCTGTCTCATAAATAAATAAATAAATATAACAAAGAATTGGCTGGGCGCAGTGGCTCGCACCTGTAATCCCAGCACTTTGGGAGGCCAAGACGGGCGGATCACCTGAGGTTGGCAGTTCAGGACCAGCCAGACCAACATGGAGAAACTGCATGTCTACTAAAAATACAAAATTAGCAGGGCATGATGGACGCACACCTGTAATCCCAGCTACTTAGGAGGCTGAGGAAGGAGACTCAGTTGAATCTGGGAGGTGGAGGTTGCAGTGAGCGGAGATCACACCATTGCACTCCAGCCTGGGCAACAAGTGTGAAACTCCGTCTCAAAAAAAAAAAAAAAAAAAAAGAGAGAGATAGATCAAGACCATCCTGGCTAACAGGGTGAAACCCCTTCTCTACAAAAATACAAAAATTAGGCGCCCTTAGTCCTAGCTACTTGGGAGGCTGAGGCAGGAGAATCACTTGAACCTGGAGGGCAGAGGTTGCATAAAGCGGCAAGATTGCATCACTGCATTCCAGCCTGGCGACAGAGTGAGACTCCGTTTCAAAAGAAAATAAAAAACAAATAAATAAAGTATCAGGCTGGGTGCAGTGGCTCATGCCTGTAATCCAGCACTTTGGGAGGCTGAGATGGGCAGATCACATGAGGTTGGGAGTTTGAGACCAGCCTGACCAACATGGAGAAACCCCCGTCTCTACTAAAAATGCAAAATTAGCCAGGTGTGTTGGTGGCTCATGCCTGTAATCCCAGCTACTCAGGAGGCTGAGGCAGGAGAATGGCTTGAACCTGAGAGGCAGAGGTTACAGTGAGCAGAGACTGCACCACTGCACTCCAACCTGGGCAACAAGAGTGAACCTGTCTCAAAAACAAAACAAAAACCAACCAGAAATAAAGTATCAAGACCATACTTTCAGGGATCATTCTATAGTTCACTCATTACTAGAGAAGTTGTTCTGAACATGTAGGGGCAAGGGAAACCACGCTGAGGAGGCACAGTATTCTCTTCTGAGCTTGAAGCCAGCTCTTCTTGCTTCGCTGCACCTGCCATTTGCCATTGATGATCATTCTAACCTCAGGTGATCTGCCCACCGCTGCCTCCTAATGTGCTGGGATTATAGGCATGAGCCACCGCATCCAGCCTCTAATTCTTAAATAGAAGACCCAGACACTGTTTGTCAAATAGTGTGGCCTTCTTTTTTTCTTTAACTCCATTTAGTGTAGCTAGTTTACTATCTGTTCACTCTTTTAATTTGAAAGTGCAGGAAAAAAGAAGAAAAAAGAAAAAAAAAGAAAAGAGTGGCATGAAGAGAACATACAGCTTGAATCAATCAATTCAGTACTTTCAGCAGCTCTGTGAAAAGGTTTTCCAGAGGTGGGTGGGATTTTTGATTAACATAATTATCGGTTTCAGTGCTAGCCCTGCCTCTTCACCAACTTTCATCTTTCTAAACTAAAAAGGGTAATGGTAAAGTGCATCTTAAAACTGAAGGATTTAAACAGCACCACCTCTTATCTTTAGAAGAGCAGTTTGGCACAGGGACTTGTATAAACCAGCTGGCACCTGTCACAGGATGTTCTCGCCACCACCCACCCTCTGGTTTCAGCGGCAGTCTTGTTGACATTTTCAGAAACTATAGAGCTGGTGGCTTCCAGGAAGTACTCCTTACATAGCAGAGGCATGCATGCCTAGGAATGGCCCTTACATGTATTGGGAAATCTTCGAGAGAACCTGGGATTCCAGATTTGGGCAAAGGAATATGGTACTTAAGATTGGAGCAAAAGACTTCAAAAAGAGAGTAATAGGCTGGGAGCGGTGGCTCACATCTGTAATCCCAACACTTCGGAGGCCGAGGTGGGCGGATCATGAGGTCAGAAGTTTGAGACCAGCCTGGCCAATATGTGAAACCCCATCTCTACTAAAAAATACAAAAATTAGCGGGGCATGGTGGCACATGCCTGTAGTCCCAGCTACTCGTGAGACTGAGGCAGGTGAATCCCTAGAACCTGGGAGGCAGAGGTTGCAGTGAGCCAAGATCACTGCACTCCAGCCTGGGCGACAGAGCAAAACTCCATCTCAAAACAACAACAACAACAACAACAACAAAAAACAAAAAAAGAGTATTAGGTCAGGGTCTTAAGGACTAGCCAGTGGAATGAGGCAGAAAGTTAGAGAGCCAGACTGGAATGGAGTGTGAGGGTGAGACAGCCAGGCTGGAATGGAGTGTGAGGTTAGGGCTGTTCCTTTTAAATGTATTTTAACAGAGGTGAGTCTCTAGTGAGCCAAGATTGTGACACTGCATTCCAGCCTGAGCTATGGAACAAGAACCTGTCACAACCACCACCACCAAATATAAAGGAGGGGAGGAAAACAGGATTAATCTGCATATCTTGTATGCTTATTCTGATCTACTCCCACAAATATAAGACTGTCAACCTAAAGAAATTGAGGCAAAAATTAATATAAGTAGAGTTTATTTGGGCCAAATTTGAGGACTGCAACTTGGAAGACACAGATTCAAGTTGCTCAAATATATACTCTGATTAGCAGCATATATTCAGGTAGATTTTAAACAGTGGGAAAAAAAAGGGAGGCAGTTCTTATATTGATTCATTAAAATAACATAAGCTATTGACTGGTAATCACTGTTCTTTGTAGCACAAATTCCAGGAATGTGAAGATAATGGGTGAGGGTCCTACTCTGCAACTTTAACATTTCAGGGATAATTTATCAGCTAGTCTGGCAACTACAGGGAAAGAAAGAATCAAATGTCTTTATCATATATATGTGGTATATGTAGATAGATAAAAATACACATTGCTGTGTTAAGCCTCGCTGTGCTAGGCTGGAGTACAGTGATGCAATCTTGGCTCACTGCAACCTCTGCCTCCTGGGTTCAAGCGGATTCTCCTACCTCAGTCACCCAAGTAGCTGGGATTATAGGCATGCACCACTACACCTGGCTAAGTTTTGTATTTTTAGTAGAGACAGGGGTTTTCTCCATGTTGGTCAGGCTGGTCTCAGAACACCTGGCCTCAAGTGGTTCGCCTGCCTCAGCCTCCCAAAGCGCTGGGATCACAGGTGTGAGCCACCATGCCCAGACAGAATAAAATATCTTTAAATAGTTACCCTGAGTGTTAAAACTGCCTTTGCAAAATTACAACTGAGTAAATGATAACTGAGGAAATTATGACAGTGAAGGAAATCAGACCTAACCCACTCCATCTTGTTTCTAACTTTTAAGCTGTTTTTGTTCATTCCTGCATGTAGGTCAAACTAACTTTGGGAAGGAATTCAGTTCTTGGTTTGACTCTGAAACAAAACTGAAGACATGGCTGGGCGTGGTGGTTCATGCCTATAATCCCATGGAAAGATGAGGCAGGCGGATTACTTGAGGTCAGGAGTTTTAGACCAGATTGGCCAACATGGTGAAACCCTGTCTCTACTAAAAATACAAAAATTATCTGGGCATGGTGGTAGGCACCTGAATGTCAGCTGCTTGGGAGGCTGAGGCATGAGAATCACCTGAACCCAGGGGGTGGACATTGCAGTGAGCCGAGATCGCACCACTGCATTCCAGCCTGAGTGACAGAGCAAGACTCTGTCCCAAAAAGAAAAACAAACAAACTGATAACAGCCCTTTCTTGAAAAGACCCCCTTCTTTCCTTCTTGTCTGGGGACAAGTTGGCCTTTGCAGGACTGAAAAATTAGCTACAAGATTAGAAATTACAGTTTATGGGTCATGCAACCTCTGGCTTCTCTGAACCTCTTTAAATTGCTCCTGGGAATAACATCACTTTTATAAAACCTAAGATCAGTGCTTGAGATATTTTGTAGACCCTGCACTCAGTGGGTCAACTGGCAGCACCCAGATCCAGACTGGTAATCTGGGTCAACCAGTTCTACCATCCCACCCAAGAACAAAAGACAGCAAGAAAAACTCACTTTGACCCCCTAGGCTCCATCTCCAATCTGACCAATTAGCACTTCCCACTTCCCAAGCTCCTAGCTGTCAAATTCTCATCACCCAGTGCTCAGGGATACTGATTTGAGTAATGATACTGCAGTCTCCTGCACAGCCGGCTCTATGTGAATTACTCTTTCTCCATGCAATTCCCATCTTGATAAATCAGCTCCATCTAGGCAGCGGGCAAGGTGAATCCACTGGGCAGTTACAGTGTGCATTGATGAGGCAGGGGATGTCTCAAAGTCATGTCTCTCTAAGCCTGACAAGTTTTGCATACTTTACATAGCTTAAAGCTGCTCTGAGCTGCTTTTCCTTCTTCTTTTTTTTTTTTTTTTTTCTTGAGATGGAGTCTCACTCTGTCGCCCAGGATGGAGTGCTGTGATCATAACTCACTGCAGCCTTGAACTCCTGGGCTCAGGCAATCCTTCTGCCTCAGCCTCCCAAAGTGCTGGGATTACAGGCATGAGCAACCACATCCAGCCAAAAGTACGCTTTAGAGTACAGCTTCAGCTCATGCCTGAGTTCCAGCCTGCCTTTCCTGATGGCCTGCTCTACCAATTTCAGACTTAACTAGGGAGCTGCCACAACTGTATGTCAATCCGTTGCCAAAAAACCCTTAATATATGCCTCCTTTTGATTTTATATTTCTGATGAAGCCTTGATACAGTGACTGAGCATGAGAACTTGCAAGTAGTATGAGATACAATTTGTTTTTGTTTTGCAGTGGGGTCTTGCTATGTTGCTCAGGTTAGCCTTGAACTTCTGGGCTCAAGCAATCCTCGTTTCAGCTTCCCAAGTAGCTGGCTTTACAGGGGTGCACCACTGTATCCAGCTCATTTTAAATTATTAGTTATTTAAGTACTGTGTATAATTTGGACTTCATGTCATATTTTAACAATATATGTGAGTGTATGTGTGGGTATACATAATTTTTAATGCTGTTTAAAACAAGTTCTTTACATTTTTTTCATGGTAGTATCAACCTAAAAGGAAGAAGCTGAGGCAAAAGTAACTTTTGAGGGGGCTAAGATTGAGGACTGCATTTCAGGACACTCCCAAATTGCCTTGAGTGCTCCAGAGAACAAAACAGAGGCGCAAGTTTTTGAAGAAAATATGATGAATCAGGAGAAGGGACGATTACAGAACTTGTTCATTAGGAATTCTCATTGGTTTACAGAAACAACATTGGCAAGTGATTGGCTATACACTGCTGAACTACAGGATGCATTGAATTCTATGGCTACTTAGCGTCAGTCTGGAGACTATATAACAAATGGCTCCAAGAGTAATTATTTAGTTCAATGGAGAGTGAGACAAGAATGCTGGTACATTTTAAATGCCTCCCTGGGCCTGAGAGGCTTGCATTCCTCAGATAAAAAGTTTTTCCCTGGGCTGGGAGGACTTTGGGAGGCCGAGGTGGGTGGATCACCGAGGTCAGGAGTTTGAGACCAGCCTGGCCAATATGGTGAAACCCCTGTCTCTACTAATAATACAAAAATTAGCCAGTGTTGTGGCATACGCCTGTAGTCCCAGCTACTTGGGAGGCTGAGGCAGGAGAATCGCTTGAACACAGGAGGCGGAGGTTGCAGTGAGCTGAGATCATGCCACTGCACTCCAGCCTGGGTGACAGAGTAACATTCTGTCTCAAAAAATAAAAAAGTTTGTTTTTTATAAGCAGCTCTTAAGTGACAAAGAACAGCATTCAGCCTATTTTTTTTTCTATTTTGGATCTAAAAACTCAAGTTCTCCTTCGTATCAGCAATACATTCTGCAAACCAGAGTATCTGAGACAAGCCTCATCAATTTAGGAGGTTTATTTTGCCAAGGTTAAGGACGTGCCCATGACACAGCCTCAGGAGGTCCTGAGGACCTGTGCCAGGGTGGTCGGGGCACAGTTTCATTTTACACATTTTAGGGAGACACAAGACATCAATTTATATATGTAGGCTGTACATTGGTTTAGTCTGGAAAGGCAGAATAACTTGAAGTAAGGAGGAAGTCCACAAGGAACTTCCTTGCGGCAAATTGTGAATGAAGGAGTGAAGGAAGGAAGTAGCTTTTTTTTTAATCGTTGTAACTATCTCATTGAGGAACAGAATGGGAGGCACGTTTGCCCTACATGGTTCCAAGCTTGACTTTTCCTTTTGGCTTCGTGATTTTGGGGTCCTGGAGATTATTTTCTTTTCATAATTCTAAACACCTGAACTAACTGGCCAATACAATTCTTTCATATCAGATACTAATTAAAACATTTGTTTTTTCCTTTGACTTCTCTCCCGACAAGATCTTTAAACTGCAGTTGTCACGTCCTAAATCACTGACCCCCAAATATGCTTTTGATCACATACTTCTCAAAAGAATTTTACCATTTGCTTCAATACATATATATTTTATATATACATAGAAAAAATCGCCAGGCTTGGTGGCTCACGCCTGTAATCTCAGCACGTTGGGAGGCCGAGCTGGAAGGATCCATTTGAGGCCAGGAGTTTGAGACCAGACTGGCCAACATAGTGAGACTCCCTCTTCTATTCAAAAAAAAGGGCCGGGTGTGGTGGCTCACGCCTGTAAGTAATACCAGCACGTTGGGAGGCTGAGGTGGGTGGATTACCACCTAACCAACATGGAGAAACCCTGTCTCATACTAAAAATACAAAACTGTTTTAATAAAGGCTGAAAATAGACATTATAATAAAGTTTTTAATAATATACAATGTGTATTGCTCCTGATGTTGGTCTCACTTGACATTTTAGGCATAGCCCTATTTTCCTGTCAAGGCAGCAGCCAGTTCTGAACGCTTGATTCATGTAAGCAGCTGCTACCCATGCCATCATAGTATACATAAAATTGCTAAATGTAGGATTCAAATACTCTTAAAGGGACACTAATATGCAAATCAGGCTGTTTTGTTGTAACAGCGAAAGGTTTAGAAACAAATAATTTTAGTATCCACTTAGTACACTAATCATGAACACACATCATAGAGCCAGGCACAGTAGTAAATTGTTATAAACACTAACATTGATCGTTTACGAACATATATGAAGTCTTTACACATTTCTTAAATGTTCTTTGCCTTTAGTGTTGGTGATAAATGAAAGGATAAAAAGTCCAACGGAACACATCAAAACCACAATAAATGTCAACGGGTGTTATTAACAATAAAGAAGAACTCAGAAGTAAAAACTACATTTAAAGCTACGGGACTCCAAAGTCCCGGACTCCAAATACCAGAGTTCCTTAAAGCCGAGGCGGAGCTACCTTCAAACTGATAGTTTTTTTACCCAATGACAGCCAGACAACTCCTAAACTACATTCGGCCCGGCTTGAAGGGCTGGTTTCTTCACGTGCAAACACCAACGTATTACGTAGACTTTCTGAACACGAGTGATAGTTTCAGGGCCTGGGTATAACTACCAAATTATTTCTCCCCGCATCCGTCTCCTAGTCACCTTAATAACTCTCTACTCAACTCTGACTCGGTGGAAACTCGAGCGTCTAAATGCTGAAACTGACGGACCACATTATTAGCGGAACGTATCCAGTTCGTCGGGAAGAAGGAGGAATCCGCTTTATTCTTGCCGTTTATTGGCCACACATTACACCAATGGTGCCGTGAAACTTCCGCTAACGTAACGTATGGCGTAGTGGTGTGCGCGCTGTACGTATGCTGGGACTATGAAGGCGCAGGCGTTCTGCTCTCGTCCAATCGGGCGCTAGCAAGAATTTCCCGGGCCTCTAGGCCCGACGCCTTTCGCCTTGCGTTGCGGCCCGCCTCTCTGTAGCCGACCAATCCTCTTCATGTTCTTGTGCGCATTATCCAATCAGAGAGGTCGAGGTGGGTTTCCGGTCGACCGCTCTACGCCCCTGCGCAGCTTGCGTTTTCTCCGGTACGGTTTGGGGGCTGGCTGCTAAGGTATCTGTTGCTGGGCTGGGCTGGGCGGGGTACCCAGGATGGGCAACCCTCTCGACGAGCGGCAACTCTGTGGTTGAGTTTAGAAAGCTGGAGTCTCTGGCCATGTATCGCGGGCGCGGCGGAGGGAAGTGGGAGGTTGTGGTTGGAGCGAGCACGTGTTGGGGGGTCTCGCTCTGCGGTCGGAGACCCCAGGTCAAACCTGTGCTGGCGCTGGCCCAAGAGCATTTTGCAGGTCAGGCTGCTGTTGGTGGCGGCGGCCGCAGCACTTCATCTGGGGCGTTTTTCGGTATAACCCAAACGCCCTTGCTTATTTTCAGGGAAGGACCTGTTTCCTCCTCCTGTCCCCTCCCGCGGATACTTTCCCCACCACCGTCTGGATTTAGTATAATATTTTGGTAGGCCAGAAAGCAGCTTTTCACTTGGGAAGAGACGTCCTATAGTATGGGATGTGGTATGATACCAGCTACTAGTCTATTACTAATCATTTAAACCACATTGTCGTTTAAAGAGGTAGGTACTGTGAGTGTTCTCATTTTCACGGGAAGAAGCAGTTACTTATTGTCGGTCTCTGACAAATTGTGGCATTCAGCTTCCATGGACGTAAAATTAAAAGGTGGTGTATAACTTGTAAAATGTTGCTTCTGTTTTCTTTACTAACTGAGAATTACTTAAGTCAATAAAAGGCCGGGCGCGGTGGCTCACGCCTGTAATCCCCGCACTTAGAGAGGCCGAGGCGGACGGATCCCGAGGTCAGGAGTTTGCGAATAGCCCGGTCAACATGGTGAAACCCCATCTCTAACTCAAAATAGAAAAATTAGCCGGGTGTGGTGGCAGGAGCCTGTAATCCCACTTACTGGGGAGGCTGAGGCTGGAGAATCCCTTGAACCCGGGAGGCAGAGGTTGCAGTGAGCCGAGATCGCACCACCACTGCACTCCAGCCTGGGTGACAGAGCGAAGCTCCGTCCCCCACCCCTACCTCCCGAAAAATAAGTCAATAAAACACACCGAAAAGTGAATTAATTGATTGTTACCAAGGTAAAATGATCTAGAGGAAAGACATCACAGCTGCCCGTTATTGACCTTTGACTGGACAAGTCAGCCTCAGCTTCTTCACCAGTATGATTGAAATCAATACCAAACTTGACTACTTAGAGTTCTGAGGATCAAATGATTCAATGGATATAAAATGTTACTGATGAAAACCACATGTGACTTTATGCTTTTCACATTCTTTCCTTTGGAGCTTGGACTGCCACTGGAACCTATGGCAGAATAAAACAGTGGTAACTTGCAGTCAAGTACCATTTAAGTGAGAAATACCTCTTTGGTATTTTTTGTTTGTTTTGTTTTTTAGTGAGATAAGAGTCTTGCTCTGGCGCCCAGGCTGGAGTGCAGTGGCTCAGTCTTTGCTCACTGCAACCTCTGCCTCTTGGGTTCAAGCGATTCTTCTGCCTCAGCCTCCTGAGTAGCTGGGACTACAGGCGCACGCCGTCATGCTCAGCTAAGTTTTGTGTTTTTAGTAGAGATGGGGATTCACCGTATTAGCCAGGCTGGTCTCGAACTGCTGACCTCGTGATCCACCTGCCTTGGCCTCCCAGAATACTGGGATTACAGGTGTGAGACACCGTGCCCGGCTGATAAATACCTCTTAAACCTCTAAGGACTGCTTATCTCCTTGCTCAGTATTCAGGAAAGTATTCCCTGTGTGTGCAGAAATGTTACTTACCTGGTTTGTATTCTTACCTTGGACTGCTTTAGCTATTGTAAAGCAAAAGTTTTCTTTTCTCTCACTTTGTGTCATGATCCATGCAGGGTGTTTTTCCAGGTGGCACAGTCTCAGGTCACTAGAGTTTCGAACTCAAGTGGTCCTCCTGCCTCAGCCTCCCAAGTGGCAGGGATTACATGCATGAGCCACTGTGACAGGCCCATGCTGTTTTTGGGTTGTATTTTTGTACTAACCTAAAGTCATGACTGCTTTTTCTGCAACTGGACGCTATTAGCTGCACATAGGACTGAAGATAGTACTGCTTTTTTGCTTTTTCCCTACGTGCTTTAAAGAACTACATTTTCAATGATTTCTGTGTATGTAAGATCTTTTCACTTACTTGGCAGAAAATACAAGAGAATTTTGATATATCTGAACTGGAATGGTCTTTATGTTAATTCTGTTCAATATTTTAGGGCAGACTAAAGATTATCGCTAAACTGTCAAAAGGGTGTGTTTAGTTCATATGGCTATTGTCACATATTACAACAGATTTAGTGACTTGAAATAACACATTCTTTCTGCCTTTTTTTGGGGTGAAAAGTATACACTCAAGAAAGGGGAATGCAGGTGTACTTGAGTCACCTCGTTTTTGTTTTTGTTTTTTTTTTTTAAGATGGGGTTTCACCATGATGGCCAGGGTGGTCTTGAACTCCTGACCTCATTTGATCCACCCACCTTGGCCTCCCAAAGTGCTAGGATTACAGGTGTGAGCCTCCGTGCCCAACTTTTTGTTTTTTTGATATGAGGTCTCACTATGTTGCCCAGGCTGGTGGTCTGAAACTCCTGAGCTCAAATGGTCCTCCCACCTTGGCCTCCCAAAGATCTGGCATTATTGGCATGAGCTGCAATACCCAGCCTCATTTATTCTCTTTAGTTCTGGAGGTCAGAAGTGTGAAACGGTTTCACTGGGCTAAAGTCAAGCTGTTATAGGCCCAGTTCCTTCTGGAGGCTCTTTGAGGAAGATGGTTTCCTTACCTTTTCCAGCTTCTAGTGGCTGCCGGTCTTCCTTGGCTTGTGGCTCTTCTCTGCACAGCACATCACTCCGTCATCATATCACTTTCTCATAAATAAATAAATCCACAAAAAGTTCAGGAGAACTCCCTGAACTTTTCCACATCTCCCCTTGCCTCTCTTATGAGGGCATTTGTGATATTAGGACCATCCAGATAATCAAGGATACTCTCCATCTCAAGATACTTTTGTAAAGTCCCTTTTGTCATAAAATGAAACAGTCACAGGATCCAGGAGTTAAGACCTATATATTCAGCCTACCACAGAAAGATCTAAAGAAGAGTAAAGCATCCTATCCCACAAAGTCTCCTAGGGACTGTAAGAGAAAAAGCAATTCACAGTTAATGCTTGGTGAGCTAGACTTTCTGATTACTGTAAAAATAACCTACGTCACCACAGGTTGGAGCTTCTACAACTTTTCCACTGGAATATCTTTAATAACAAAGGTAGATGAATATACCTGTGATATTTGGAAACAAAGCCTGAATTAATGCTTTAGAAGAGTAAAATTTCTTTGAATTCTAATCTTATAATTTAAAATTTTATGTGACTTTTGCATTTTTATATATTTGTTATAAGTAAAATTTCGATGCCGCAAAAGAAATAGCACTCAAAGATAAATCCTGTCAGCAAGGCAGTTTACTTCTGTAGATCGGTGCCGCTCACAGATGGAGCAATGGCCGCCGCACACTTAGACAAGACGGGGAAGGGGTACTTAGGCCTGATGAGGGTGGTCCCTACTGCTATGTCATTCTGCTATCCTCTAGGGTTAAACCGCACAAGCTAGACTAATCCTGATTGGCTATTTTAAAGAGAGCAGGGGTCTGAGCTTGAGTGGCAGGATGGGTGTTTTGGCAGAAAGATGGTTACAGGTGGGTCAGAACAGGTAGCCAGGGGTGACCTAGGTCAAAGAAGGTGACAGGAGCAGGTGACTGGGATGAGTCGGGATGGAGCAGGGGACCGGGGAACAGATGTGAACTACTGATTAGAACCGGTGGAGAAGGTTGTTTACTGGAATTATAAGGAAGTTAAACTTTAAAATAGAGAATTGTTAAGAGCTGAACATACTGACATACTGATTCTGATTCTTTTAAGAGAAACTTGGGGTTCACTATAACATGTTTATGGTTGATGCTGTTTTGAATTATATCAAAACATTGCTGTTCTAGAGAAGAGACTTTATTCTATAGCTTCATTATGATTTTACTTTTTTTGGTGGTGGGGGGGAACGGAGTCTTACTCTATTGGTCAGGCTGGAGTGCAGTGGTGCAGTCTCAGCTCACTACAACCTCTGCTGCCCAGGTTCAAGCAATTCTCATGCCTCAGCCTATAGCTGGGATTTCAGGCACCTGCCACCGTGCCCAGCTAACTTTTGTATTTTTTGTTTGTTTATTTATTTATTTTTAAGATGTGGTTTCTCCATGTTGGCCAGGCTGGCCTCAAACTCCTGACCTCAGGTGATCAGGCTGAGGCCCACCTCAGCCTCCCAAAGTGCTGGGATTACAAGTGTGAGCCACTGCACCCGGCCTAACTTTTGTATTTTTAATAGAGATGGGGTTTCACTATCTTGGCCAGGCTAGTTTTGAACTTCTCACCTCGTGATCCACCTGCCTTAGCCTCCCAAAGTGTGCCTGGCCTTATTTTACTTTTAAATTTATTTTTAGAGACAGGGGTCTCACTATGTTGCCTACTCTGGACTCAAACTCTTGGGCTCAAATGATGGTTCCCACCTAAGACTCCTGAGTAGCTGGGACTATGGGCATGCAACACAGTGCCCAGCTAATGTAGGGTCTTGTAATTTTCTTTTTTTGAGGGGGGCAATGACTTTTAAAAAAAATTATTTTTATTTTTCCATTACCTTATAGGGGTATAGGTGGTATTGGGTTATATGAGTAAGTTCTTTAGTGGTGATTTGTGAGATTTTGGTGCACGTATCACCTGAGCAGTATACATTGCAACCACATTTGTAGTCTTTTAGTCCTTTGTCCTCCCCTACTCTTTCCCTCCCCACTGCTGAGTCCCCAAAGTTCATTGTATTCTTATGCCTATGCGTCCTCATAGCTTAACTCCCATATATCTATGAGAACATACAGTCTTTGGTTTTCCATTCCTGAGTTACTTCATTTAGAATAATAATCTTCAATCTCATCCAGGTCACAGCAAATGCTGTTAATTCATTCCTTTTTATGGCTGTG